AGCACTAGAGGCGGTTTAGCCAATCACAACACACTGGGCTAGCTAACCAATCAGATCCCATCGCCTATTTCTGAGGGCGGGGCTTCATAAAAACAGGAAAAGATCAGCGTGTTTCTCAGAGAAGGGACAGAGCGGTGCGGAATAAAGGTAAATTATGTGAAAAATAATTAGTTTTTAAAAAAACGAAGCATTAGCACGTTAGACTGCACCCCATAAACACAATCAAGCCTAGAAAAAAGCCAGTGAACCACCCCTTTAACTGTAATATAGTAATATAGAAGTAAACTTCTGCCAGCGGGACGGTGACAGTTAAGGGGTTAAAAAATGTTAAACACATTAAAAAAAAAATCTTACTTTTTGATATCAACTGTGAGAAGTGTGAGAAGAATACTGATATTAAAATTGTTCAGTTCATACCTGATTCCTTCTTGTTTTTATATTTTGGGAAATTATTTTACAATGTTAAAAAATTATATTTTAATATAATATAGTTGGAAATAATGTTTTTTTTGTTAATTAATTATTTAAAAATGTTTTTAAAAATAATTATAAATTAAAAAAATATATATTATAATTTATATATTTTATAATATAACTGGCAATAATGCCACTCCATCAGAGAAAAAACCTTGGGAGAAACCAGGCTCAGTCGGGGGCCAGTTCTCCTCCGGACGAAACCAGCATGATGTGGTTTAAGTGCAGTCAGGTAAAAACAGGAAGACACAGACCTGAGCATCTTGGAAAGCGTATCGGCCGGGATCCTTGATGTTCTGCGTGGTTTTATCGTAGCTCCTGGAGTCGACGTTGATGGCACTCGGAGCCCCAGGAGCCAGAAACTCGTCCCAGATCTCCTGCACCCTGCTGGGAACCTCCCGGATCGGACGTTTCTTCAGCTCCTGCACCGCCAGCCAGAACCTGCACAGACCACCAGAGACCAGCAGAGACCAGCAGAGACCGCCAGAGACCAGCAGAGACCAGCAAACACCCAGACCAGCAACAGAGAGAAAAAACACACCATTTTAAATATATTTTTTAATAATATAACTGGCAATAATGCCAAATTTACTTCTTAATATATGTTTTAAAATGTTACAAAAATAATATAATATAACGCAATATAAATTTTTGTTTCATTATTTAAAAATATAAAAAATGTAACCAATTTTTATATAATGTAGTTGGATATAATACAACATTTACTTTTTGTTTAATTATTAGACATGTTAAAAAACGTAATAATTTTATTATAATATAGTTGGAAATAATTATTTTATTTTATTATTTTTAATATAGTCAGATATAATGCAACATTTATATTTTATTTAATTGTTTAAAAATTTAAAAAATTGTATACATTCTAATACAATATAACAGATGAAATGCAACATTTACGTTTAGTTTATTTAAATTGTTAAACATGTAATATAATATAGTTGGATATAAAGCAACATTTACTTTTGACCCACGGCCCTCAATCAAGTTTGATTTTTGACCCTTTGTATTAAAAAGTTAGCAAATTTCGTCTGCATGATTGTTTATATCATTGCAAAAAATAAATACATTATCATCCAGCTCCAAGGTTAGGTTAGCTTAGACTCGTGTTCTTCATCATCATCATCCTCCTCCTGTTTTCTCATGAGAGTGCTCTGAAGCTGGAGGCTGGTGTCTTTACCTCAGGTTCTCGGAGCTGAACTCGGACTCCAGGAACTTGAGGAACTGCTCTCTCCCGACCGGATCCTTCAGAACCTCGTCGAAGCCGAATCCCCAGCGCTTCACCCGCTGCTGTCCTGCCTCTTTACTGCGAGACAGAGAGCGAGAGACGAGTTATTCTTCTGTCAGAGTCACACATGCTGATCTACAGTCAGTCTACAGCAGCAGAGGAGACACTCGCTCTTATCACAGAGCTTTATGTGTATTTTTTACATTGACCTTCTTGAACTTTTGCCCTGCTTTGATTTTTCACTTCAGTTTGGGCTTTATATCTTGTGTTGTGATTCATCTGAAGGTTCATGACACTGAACTGAAACGAATACTAGTTTACGCTTGACTAAAATCATCTGCGGTGTAAAATCACTAAAGTAAGGAAGAACGTGAGACACACACCTGGCCTCCAGATCCCAGGAAGTGACATCATCAGAGATCCAGGGGTTCGACGGCTCCGGCGTCGTGAAGAACGGATCGTACTCGATATACTGCTCCGAGAAACTCAACAAGCTACAGGCACACATGCAGATTTACAATAATTATAATAGTAAAATTAATGCTACTACTACTAATAATAATAAACAGCAGAATAATAATAATCATAATAATAATAATAATATCATTATTAGTATTATTACAAAAATAATAATAATTATTATTATTATTAGTTATTGTAATAAAAATAATAATAATAATAATTATTATTATTATATGTATATATATAATTTTTTATATTTTAAAATAATAATAAAAAAATAAAAAATATTTTATCAAGGACACATTTATTAAAAGTGTCAGTAAAGATAGGCGCATCACAGAAATACATTACAGTTTAACAGATATTCACATAGAAAACAGCTGTTTTACATTCTAATAATATCTCACTATTTTTACTGCATTTTTTATCAAATAAATACAGCCTTGCTGAGCAGAAGAGACTTCATCCAAAAATATAAAAAATCTTACAGACCCCAAACCTTTGAGCACTAGTGTACACTGAGTAGATTCAGATCAAGTGAACTCACCTCTCTGCAACTTTGGACATTTTTAACCGGTGTCTGTCTAGCTGTGCTTGCCAGTGCTGGATCTGGAAGAGAAGACAAGCACAGATCTGAGGAAATCCCTCTCACTGTTGCTCAGTATGATGTCTTTGGTTGTTAATCACAGGAACGCTTCTATCAGCTCTGAAAATTAATGTCTGAGATGATCTGAATCGCTCCAGAATTGCTCTAGAGATTGGTGTGGAACAGTGTTAATTTTGACAGCAAATTTTGATTTAGTTTTAGTCATATTTTAGTCACCTGAATTGTTTTTAGTTTTAGTCTAGTTTTAGTCGACTAAATATCGTAAGCTTTTAGTCGACTAAATCTACAGTAAATTTAGTCGGCTGAAATCGAATGGGTTTAATTACAGTGCATTTATTAAGCATTTCTCTAAAACTCATTATATAGGTTTGATATTAAGGTTTTATCATGATAGACACCGATTTAACTGCGGTGACACACAACATGCCTTTATGTTAAAATGAAATAAAACCACTTCTCATAAAGAACAAGAACATGGTCTCCTTTTTAATGAAATACCAATGGTTATATCGGCTAATTATGCATTCTTTATAGCAACTTGTTTACCATATTCTGACATTTTGTGTGTAATTCTCCATTCATGCGACGCGAAAGAGTACTCGCGTGCTGTGAGAGGCGCTTTCTGTGTGTGTACGCTTCAGTGTCTGCTCTCAGAAAACGAACGCGAGAGAGTAGTCGTGAGCTGTGAGAGGCGCTTTCTGTGTGTGTACGCTTCAGTGTCTGCGCTCAGAAAACGAACGCGAGAGAGTACTCATGCGCTGTGAGAGGTGCTTTCTGTGTGTGTACGCTTCAGTGTCTGCGCTCAGAAAACGAACGCGAGAGAGTACTCATGCGCTGTGAGAGGTGCTTTCTGTGTGTGTACGCTTCAGTGTCTGCGCTCAGAAAACGAACGCGAGAGAGTACTCATGCGCTGTGAGAGGTGCTTTCTGTGTGTGTACGCTTCAGTGTCTGCGCTCAGAAAACGAACGCGAGAGAGTACTCATGCGCTGTGAGAGGTGCTTTCTGTGTGTGTACGCTTCAGTGTCTGCGCTCAGAAAACGAACGCGAGAGAGTACTCATGCGCTGTGAGAGGTGCTTTCTGTGTGTGTACGCTTCAGTGTCTGCGCTCAGAAAACGAACGCGAGAGAGTACTCATGCGCTGTGAGAGGTGCTTTCTGTGTGTGTACGCTTCAGTGTCTGCGCTCAGAAAACGAACGCGAGAGAGTACTCATGCGCTGTGAGAGGTGCTTTCTGTGTGTGTACGCTTCAGTGTCTGCGCTCAGAAAACGAACGCGAGAGAGTACTCATGCGCTGTGAGAGGTGCTTTCTGTGTGTGTACGCTTCAGTGTCTGCGCTCAGAAAACGAACGCGAGAGAGTACTCATGCGCTGTGAGAGGTGCTTTCTGTGTGTGTACGCTTCAGTGTCTGCGCTCAGAAAACGAACGCGAGAGAGTACTCATGCGCTGTGAGAGGTGCTTTCTGTGTGTGTACGCTTCAGTGTCTGCGCTCAGAAAACGAACGCGATAGAGTAGTCGTGCGCTGTGAGGGGCGCTTTCTGTGTGTGTGCTTCAGTGTCTGCGCTCAGAAAACGAACGCGATAGTACTCGTGCGCTGTGAGAGGCGCTTTCTGTGTGTGTACGCTTCAGTGTCTGCTCTCAGAAAACGAACGCGAGAGTACTCGTGCGCTGTGAGAGGCGCTTTCTGTGTGTGTACGCTTCAGTGTCTGCTCTCAGAAAACGAACGCGAGAGTACTCGTGCGCTGTGAGAGGCGCTTTCTGTGTGTGTACGCTTCAGTGTCTGCTCTCAGAAAACGAACGCGAGAGTACTCGTGCGCTGTGAGAGGCGCTTTCTGTGTGTGTACGCTTCAGTGTCTGCTCTCAGAAAACGAACGCGAGAGTACTCGTGCGCTGTGAGAGGCGCTTTCTGTGTGTGTACGCTTCAGTGTCTGCTCTCAGAAAACGAACGCGAGAGTACTCGTGCGCTGTGAGAGGCGCTTTCTGTGTGTGTACGCTTCAGTGTCTGTGCTCAGAAAACGAACGCGAAAGAGTACTCGTGCGCTGTGAGAGGCGCTTTCTGTGTGTGCTTCAGTGTCTGCGCTCAGAAAACCGGACCGAATTGAGTTCTCTCTTGCGTCGTCAGATTTATCCATATGTCTGCTCTTCTCTTACTCCCACAATATTTACATTTTTGAACGTTTTATGCGACGTGCAGCAAGTGTATTTCAGCTTATGTCCCGCCGGTTCATATGTACGCATCTAAACTACGAACCACGCAGCAGATTCGTTCTGAATTAATCTCTTCTGAGCTGCTTATAAAAACTGTGTCATAAAGATTTAATGTGAAGATTTTAGTCTCTAAACGTGTTCTCATAAATACGTCACTCGTCGTATCGCTCTGCTTTCTCCAGACAGGAAGAGGAAGACGCTCTCGATCTGTCTTTTAGCAAACCCTTACATATAAAACATTATTCCCTACTGAAGCACTTGTACTTACATGCACACAAAACATATTTCCGTGCAGTTTCTCATGTGCGTTCTGGAGAACATGACAGGATTGGCTTATAAAAAAATTACTTCCACCTTAGAAAATATCGACCAAAGAATACAGTTTTGTATTAAAAAAAACAATACAATATAAAAATAAAATATTCATAATTGTAGATTCATTAAATCGGTCCTCTGTTTATATATTATTTAATTTAATATACTTCCCAGAAGCCCTTATAAAAGAGCCCTATAAAAAAGTCAGACATTATTAAATATACAAATATTATTAAAATGATTTTATTGCCTTATTATATATAATTTACTATAGCAATTATTTAGTTTTTTATGTATTATTTGTAATTGTTTTTTCATTAATTGTATCTTATTTTATGTCTTGTCTTGATTATTTGAGGAAGTCGTGTCAGAAGATATTAATTTTAAAAAAGCATTATTAAGCAATTTTTTGATCTCCATGCCTGTAACATGTAATTTTCTGTACAAGTTTACATAGTAATATACTATAAAATGATTGTATTTCTTTAATAAATAATTTACTAAATCAATTATTTAGCTTTTTTATTACTTTATTTTTATACATTGTGTATTATTGTTTATTTATTTATTGTATGTCTTATTTTGTTTTGTTCTGATTTTTTTGAGAATGTCATGACAGAAGCTAAAAAAAGCATTAAAATGATTTGATTTCCTTCTTTTTTCATTATTATGTATTACTATATTTTTTTTCATTGTCTGTCTTGTTTTGATTTTTGATATTCTGATTTGTTAAGACTTTATTATTAGTTTTTTGTTGAAAACTGTATCCTTATGCCATTTTATTGTTGTTAATATTCTGCATTAATTTAAAACAGCTACACGTATACTGCATGCATGTACACTACACAGAACACAGCAGCTGTGCATGTATTTCTCAAACACAGCGTCTGTGACGAGCGTCCTCGTTAAGTCACCTGGTTGCGTAGCTCGTCCTCCGTGGGCTCTTTGACCTCACACACACACAGACACACACACACACACACACACACACACAGACTGAGCTTTATGATTACTGTGGCATCATCTTTTTTACATTTACCTGCAATAAACGTCATGCAACTGTGACCTGTCACTTTATACAGAATTATAAGGGGTCGTTCACACAGAACGTGTTTTTCCGTTCCAATGTGCTACTTTCCATTTATTTTCTACGTAAACATGCACTACACTGTAAAAAATGATTGTGATTTTAACGGTAAAACACTGAAAATGCTACAGTAAAAACCTGTTAAATGGTTAACGGTAAGTTCCCCTATTATATACAGTGAAAAACTGCAATAGACATTTAATGTAATTTTATGGTAAAATACCATTTTTGGAAGAGAAAAAGAATGTATAATTTACAGTGAAAAAACGTAAATTGGTGTTCCCAGAATTCCCTGCATTGCATTTAAAATTTGATGTTTTTTCTTTTAAATAACGTCTTAGTTTTTTTCTTATCAGTTATGTTTATTAGGGTTGTATGTTACATCTGATGTTGTTAAATTAAAGTTTATTGCATATTTCCGTTTCTTGTGTGTCACCATGATGGTGTTTAGTGTTTGTGTGAATGACACTGTGCACCTTCTATATATATATATATAGCATTGGCCTTGTGGTGAGCTTTGGTTCATCATGTGACTTTCTCATCATCACCTGATTTTGATGGTTATCGGTGCATTACAAAGGTATATAACAGATTTCAGAACTTCAATAGGTTGGTATATTAACATTAAATCAGTTAATGAAATACGGTTTTTAATTGTAAATTTAAGTTAAATCTGTAAACCCTAAAATGTTGCTACCGTATATTTTACGGTAAAAAACTGGCAGCTGTGGTGAATTTTTTTTACAGTGTAGACAGACGTGTATGACCGTTGCGCTCATGTCTTGCGTCTTTTGCAGTGTCGCACACATGAGCGGAGTGTTTTTAAGAAGCAGTGTTGAGTTAAAAGAATTTTAATGTCATTAATGTCAGTTCCAGAACAGTGGACCAATCAGAAGACACTGGAGGCGGGGCAAGCATTGCAAACTTTTGTTTACAGTTGTAAACTTTTGTTTTATTAGACGGAATCATGTCGGAGGAGGCGTTCTGTCCTGCGCTTTTTTTCTTGAACGCAGCATCTTGCGTTTTTAGACGTGTGTGAACGGCCCCAAGATTTGTTTCTGGCAGGAACATGAGGTGTATATATACCGTAAATGTGTGTGTGTGTGTGTGTGTGATTACCTTCCGTGTTTTGTGTGGCTGCTTCATCCGGGAGGATTTCTTTATGTCGGCTTCAGTCGTGTTCACACAGCCAGGCTGCAACACGCACACACACACACAGTTTATGAATATTCATAAACTGCCATTTTAACACCATAATACTTGTCCCTGTGGAGCCAGAGTTTGTAAATCAGACATACTTGTCCCTGTGGAGCCAGGGTTTGTAAATCAGACAGACACACCTGTGTGTGTGTGTGTGTGTGTGTGTGTGTGTGTGTGTGTGTGTGCATTTCCGTTGACAACACACTCCGTTTAGACAATCCCCAGAGTATACTAATGAGATAACGAGAAAAAGAGGTACTAAACCTCCACAAGTGTGTGTGTGTGTGTGTGAGAGAGAGTGTG